TTTGACTCTTCTCTATGACTGAAATGAGCTGCGAAGAGGCATCCTCCACTGAGGCCCATAACAGGCCTCTCACAGCCCCATCTGTTGTTTTGAAATTGAGATGAAATTCACATAATAGCCAGAACCGGTTTGGCTCAGTGGATAGAGCGTCGGCCTGCGGACTCAAGGGTCCCGGGTTCGATTCCGGTCAAGAGCATGTACCTTGGTTGCGGGCACATCCCCAGTGGGGGGCGTGCAGGAGGCAGCTGATCGGTGTTTCTCTCTCATCGATGTTTCTAACTTTCTATCCCTCTCCTTTCCTCTCTGTAGAAAATCAATAAAACATATTAAAAAAAAATTCACATAATAACATTTTAAAGTAATTCAGTGGCATTTGGTGTATTCAGTGTTGTGCAACCACCACCTCTATCTAGTTGCAAAATGCTTTAATCCCCCCCGAGGAAATTCTGTAGCCGCAAGCAGTCACCCCCCACCTCCATTCTCCCTTCTGCTCCTGGCAACCAATAATCCACTTTCTATCTCTATGGATTTGACTATTCTGGTTATTTCATATAAATGGAATCATACAGCCCTAACTGGTTTGGCTCAGCGGATAGAGCATCGGCCTGCAGACTCAAGGGTCCTAGGTTTGATTCCAGTCAAGGGCATGTACCTTGGTTGTGGGCACATCCCCAGTAGGGAGTGTGCAGGAGGCAGCTAATCGATGTTTCTCTCTCATAGATGTTTCTAACTCTCTATCCCTCTCCCTTCCTCTCTGTAAAAAATAAAATATATTTTAAAAAAATAAATGGAATCATACAATATGTGGTCTTTTGTGACTGGCTTCTTTCATTTAACATGTTTTAAGGTTCATCCATGTTGTAGCATGTGTCAGTACTTCATTACTTTTTATGGCTGAATAATATTCCATTATTTGGACAGGCCATATTTTATATACCTATTCAATAGGTTGAGGGACTTGAGTTGTTTCCACCTTTTTATTTATTTATTTATTTATTTATTTATTTTTGTTAATCCTCACCTGAGGATATCTTTCCATTGATTTTTAGGGAGAGTGGAAGAGAAAAGGAAAGACAGAAACATCGATGTGAAAGAAACACATCAAGAGGCTGCCACCTGCACGAACCCTGACCAGGGCCCGGGGCGGGGAGGAGCCTGCAACCAAGGTATGTGCCCTTGACTGGAAATGAACTGGGACCCTTTGGTCCATAGGCCGATGCTCTATCCACTGAGCCAAACTGGCTAGGGCTCCACCTTTTAGCTATTGTGAATAGAGCTGCTGTGAACATTTGTGTACAAGGATCTGCTTGAGTCCTGGATTTTAATTCTTTTGGATATATACGTCAGAGTGGAACTGCTGGGTCACAATGGCAATTCTGTGTTTAATTTTGTGAGGAACTGCACTTGCCCAGTCTTAAGGCCTACCCGACACTTGGGCCTCTCAGAGGTGCTGGCTCGGTATTCTGGAGTGGGGTCCACAGGCAGGGATTTTTAACAAGTGCCCAGGTGAGCTGTAGGGTCCAAGCAAGGTTAGAATGCTCTGACTTACTGGTTAAGAAGGGTGTGTTTGATAGCAAGCCTATTCTCCCTCAAATACGGAGAGGATTCTAGAAGGCAAGGAAGGGGCTTGTCACAGGTCAGCAGGCCCTTCAGCATCGCCACCCCATGTTGTCATAATTGATTTCCTCCAGGGCCCTCAGTGTAAAAGAATGTAAAACATAAACAACTGTCCCCACTACTCACTTGGCTTTTCTAACCCTTCTGATTTCTGAGCTCGATCAGCACGCGGTGTCTGGGTCAGAGAAAGGGCCTCTGGAGACTTCTGTTCTTCTCCATCCCAATCGTCCCAGAGAGCTGAATTCAAGAAGCTCAGCCTGCTGCTCCCAGGGGAGCTGGCCTGAGGGGATTTCTCTTGAGACTTCCTTTGGCCAGTGCAGCTTCCTCGGATGGGGGTGGTACTCAGGAGTGCTGGGGAGTGGCAGTCACCACTGTCCGGGGCTTCCCTGGCCCTGCTGCCTGGGCTACTGGTGCTCAGGGGGCCAGTCCGCTCAAGGTTCAAATTATCAATCGGAATTGGCGAGAGGGGCTCGACATGCCAACAGCAGTCGTCAGTTGGAATGGGGGGACCGCTGTCCAACAGGGGGCTGCTGCTCGCCTGATGGGAGGCTACCTCCTGCTCATCGTCACTGTCCTCCACCTCCACCACTTCGCTCACTGCGGCCTGATTTGGCAGGCTCGGCCTGGGCAGCGAGCGCTTCTGGAACTGCCCACTGAAATCAGTGAGGCCTCCTGAGGCTGGACAGGGAGCCAGCACAGAAAAGTGCTTGTGGCGCCTGGGGCTGGGGCTGGAAGGGCTTCTGTGATTGACAGGGACCGGGCAGGATGACGATGTCTGGTGCACAATTGCTGAAAACTTACTAGAGGCTTTGGGTCCATCCCTGTTTTCTAATGGGGCCCTGGGCTGGAGCTGAGCCATTTCATATGCTGAAGTCCTGGACCCGAGACCCATGATTTGGGTCTGTGATGAGTGTTCTCGGCTTCTGCTGCCGAGTGGGGTGGCAGGTACCAGCCACGAGGTTTCTGTGGTGCTGTCCTCGTCCGGGCTGCTCTCGCGGTTACAGAACAGTGGGGGGGACCCTCTGCCACCCACATAGCCCAGGTTCCTTGACGGCCGCCCCTCCTCCTGCTGCACTGGGGCCTCTCTCTTTGGTGGGCTTTGGGAAGGTTCCTGATCTGCATCAACATCAATGACGGAGAACAGGTCAGAGAACTTGGGGCAAGCTTCTAAAACTTTCCCTTCTTCCAGGGAACCATTAAAAACTGACTTTTTGGTTTGTTCTAGCTCTAGCTCCTCATCTGAATCCAATAAAAGGATAACCTCATCTTCTCTGTTCACGCTGGAGGGAGAATGCTGAGATCTGGAGCTCTGCTGGCCAGGTTTTGCCTGAGTTAGGTCAATGGATGGAGACTTTTCTGGTGAGGTCAGGGCCCCTTTATTTCTGCATTCCAACACAGAACCACGATCTTCGCCTTTCTGGCAGTCTGGATGGTTAAACAGCGTGAGGAGGCTCCGGCCCCTCTTCTGCTTCGATGGTGTGTCCTGGGAGGCCACCCTGGAAGCTCTGCCCTGAGATTGGGGCGTTGGTGGGGACATGTCATTTTTGCGATGAGGGTGAGGGTGTGGTTGGCGTGGACTCCTGCCCGGAGGGGACTGTGATGGGAAGAAGCATGGCTGTGATGGAGGTGCCTGCCGGCGAGTAGAGCGATGAGAGCTCTGTCCCCGCCTTTGTTTGATAGTGCCATTGCCTCTCTTGTGATCACTTGTTATTTGGGATGGTTCAGGGTACCCTCCTGGAGTTGATGAAAAGGGCTGTTCATCATCATCATCAACTGAGTGCATAAAGCGTCCTTCCCTTTCCTCTACCCAGCGGCCCTGAGAGGGGCGAGAAGAGCTGGTGCGATCCAGGGCTGCCTTTGGGGCCTCCGCTTCCTCCTCTCCATCTGAACACTGGCCCTCGAGTGGCAGGAACATGGACTGTCTCTCATTTTTTCTTTTGGCGATGCACTCATCTCTTCCCTGCCCAGACGGTTCCATCTGTTCTGTATTTTCTGACTGTTCTTTAACCTGGACGCTTGCTAGGATTCGCCTAGAACTTGGACTGTCCTCCCCAAACTGGTTAGTTTCTTCTTTGATCTCTGGAGCTCTTTCCCCCTGGAGCAGCTTTCTCTGAGTAGCAGCAAATTCATAAATTTCTTCCATTTCTGCTTCATTGACCTTTTCTCTATCTTCTTCAAGGCCCTCGGATTTCAACAAGGCTTCTGCTTCCTCCTCTTCACCTACCCACATTGACCTCAAGAGTTCTTGGAAATTCTCCGCTCTGCTTTCACAATCCTCATCTTCCTTCTCCTCCTGGCTGCCCTCTGAATCCATCACGACAGATGCTTGTTTGCACAGGTGAACAAGCTCACTCACACCGAACCTGCAATAGAAACGCCATGCATCGTCACCGTCCTACACAGAGACTGCCGCCTGGTGCTCCCGGCACAGGCAAGGATTGGAGAGGAAGTCCTCACAGGGAGGACAATCATGACTCAGTCCTGGCCTTCTCCCTGCTCTCCTGTGACTAGGGTGCATGTGCAACACCCCAGGCCACTCAGTTCTCGAAACAGAGACTCATGAGACTTTCAGGCAGGGCTCACTAACTCCATTGTGCAAATGTAAAGGGGCACATCAGGCTGAGCTGAATAGCAGCTTGTGCTGCTGCAAAACTGGGGAGCACATGCTGCCTTGAAAGGCACCCAAAGCACCGTGACAGATGCAAACTGAAAGCAGACTAAACCTGTCACGGTCAGCCCAGGCCAATGAGTGCGCCAGCCTCCCACCTGCTTGAAGGTTCCGTGGTCTCATCAGTACATTTAAAACCCTGGAGGCTGAGCCACTGCTTTCCTAAGAAAGCATCGGAGGGATGACATGGCCCTGGATGAACACGTTTTATCCCAGAGGCCCTCACACCTTGTCAGGAGGTAGAACACCTTTTATGCTGAACGACTTGCCACCTCTCCTGAGACACTGGTGTGGACAAGCTGGGTAGGTGCAAATTCATGGGAGTTGGAATAAACCTTCTGTCCATTTTCTACTTTCTGGGACTTGGGAAAGGACTGCTGTTGATTGATCTTAGTGGTGGACAATCAAGGAGCAGCAGTGTTTGGGAAGGACTGAGGCCGAGGACACCCTCTCATCACGCCTCGGTAGCTAAAAGCCACATGACTAGCAGAGGACTCTTCAAGCAGCCTCGGCTCTGCTGCAAGGGTCCGTTTCTTTCCAGACTTCCTATCAACACGCCTTGTTCAAAGTCACCACTGGGCATAAACTTGGGATTAAAAGTGATAGAAAGGACTCAGCCCTGGTCCTCCCATGAGCCATCAACCTGATAATCCTTGTCAGTTAATGTCAAAAGCCAAGAAGTAAATGGAAAGAACAATTCGGACCTGCAGGCCAGAGAACTGAGGTCAGGGGTCAGCTGGGGAGGCAGGCCAGTGTCTGCAGTGTAGAGATAATGCAGGAACGCGCGGGCAGCCTCCGTGCTCACATCACTCAGCAGGACACGCTGGGTTCTTAGGTCGCCATCTTCTACAGCGAAGAATCCTTCACTGTTTACCTGAGGGTGAAATAAATATAAAGGTTTACGGACTGGAAGGTCATGACTTGGGACGAAGCAGATGGTCTTGGGTGGGTCCTGTGAGTTTCTACTCTTATAGCCTTAGTCCGGGGATGAGCATTAGCCAGTGTCACTCCATTTTGTTGACCAGAAGTTCTGCAGTTTAAGCTGTAAAACTTCTCTGTTTCAAAATCAAATCAGGTGCTCAAGAATCCAGTTGGCTCCCTCTTGACAGACATATCAAAGGCACTAGAACTTTCTGAGAGACCAACAGCAGTTTCTTGGATTCCAACCTCACAATATCCAAGTCTAACATAAGTCAACACAGAAATGTCTGTCAGCAGCTCAACTTTATAGAGGTCAATTATAAGTCTTCATAATTATGCAAATAGAGGGGGAAAAACAATTCCGGGGGAGGAGGAAAGGATTTTTATTGAATGGGACAAGAAATCTGTTTCCCAATCCTGAGGTCATTTCCTCAGACCACTTCCTAACCTCAAACACGTCTTCTCCATGGAAGTGTAACCTATGGCAACAAAGAGGAAAAAAACGTTAGGGCAGAGGGGGGAGAGCAGGGAGGGAGAGGGGTGAGAGCAGAAATGAGTTAGCTCAGGAGGATAGGAAGACAGACTGAGCAAAGAGTGATGAGGAAAAGAGGGGCAGAGAGGCGAGGAGAGGGAGAGGGAAACGGGGGGAGTGGGAGGTCAACGGAGAAAGACAGAGGCTCAAGGGGGATGGCAGGAGCTGCATGGAGGCGCAGCTTGTTCATCACGTACTTACATACTGAATGAGAAGTGGGCATCGGGCATAAAGCACGAACTTGTGGGCATACAGCACTTCCCCGTTGTCCATCTGAAACTGGACATCACTCAGGTGTGGGTTATTTACCATGGCACTGAAGTCAGCAACCAGCAAACCGACAGAGAGCTGAAACAGGAGGAGAGCCGTCACTTCCATCTGTCACTTGCCTCTCTACCTGTGCAAGTTGCCCAACTGGGATGGTGTAGAGTGGGCAGGCGGACCCTTGCACTCCTCTCAGTAGGGTTCCTACATTAGGTTCCACCTTTAAGTTACCTTAAGTCACTCAAGTGACACAGAACAACAAAACACTAACTTCTCAAATTCTCTATCACACTGAGTTGCCTGGCCTAAAATGGGAGGGACCAGCAAGTGGAGAGGCGTGGCTATGCTAATAAAGATGAAGCTGCAGCAGTGGTGGCTGCTGGGGGCTGTGCGCGCTAGGCCTAGTGTTTCACAAACTCTGCTGTGTGGCCCTGTAACGAAACTTACCAGCCCGGTGTAGCAGACAGGCCCCCTTGTCCACATGGTTCAGGGACCCAGCTGAGAGGAGCTCCAAGTCCCTCCTCTGTGTGCCACGGTCACCAGAACTTAGTGTGATACTGATATACTGATCAGGTGACATCCACTCTAAGGAAAACTAACTTCTCACCAATTCATCACCTGAGAGCATGAACTCTTAGGGGGGAGACCAGCCCAGGACCAGCATGTTGGAGGGGCACAGTGAGTCCTGAATGAATGAATGAATGAAACGTTGAGAAACAAATGCACAGAGCAGTCGGTTGAATGAGGGGATCTCACAGAGTAATGGTGGGCCCTCTGGGCTCCCAGTCAAGCAGGCTCCAGGCTTGGCAAATGAGCTGCTCCCATAAGTTCAGTGACAAAAGGGACAAAGCCTCATGGTGGAGCCCCGACAGGGGGACAGGAGGCTCCTGTGGGCTCTTGCCTGGCTCAGCTCAAATATTGTCAAGGGCACCAGGGGACTCGGACAAAGGCTTGAAGCTGGGACAGGGCCAGGCCCACAGAAAGTTCCTTACCGAAGCCTGGCTGCCCATTTCCAGGCGCTGCTCCTCAGGTGGCAGGACAAACCCAGTCAGTGGAAGGCCACCGGGCAATGGATCCATCCCTGAGAGAAGGATTCACAGGTTAAAAGAACATCACCTCCTGGCAACGTCAGCCCTCAGGGAAAGAGCATCAACTGTGGGCTGAGCTGACCCCAAAGGCGCCTGGGAAATTCTTCAGTCGGACTTCTTCAATGACAGTGAAGCCCACAAACCACTCTTACCACTACCCCCTTCCAACAGAGAGGGGCACAAGCAGTAAAATAAACAGAATTAGCCCACCAGTCACTCGCTCTGGATAAACGGCTCTGTCCTTGGTTAAATTTAAGGAAATGGCAATAGACTTACCTGTCTCACATTCACCTTTGAGAACAAAATGAAATCACCTACAGACTGCCCTTTCTCCCCATCATATGGGGATGAGCCAGGGAACCTCAAAAATGAGCTGCCTTCATGGTCTTGGTCACAGGGAGGCGAGGGCCCACAGGGTGGGGCTGGCCCAGGTGTCCCATCCCGTGTCTCACCTGTGGTCCCCCTTGAGTCAGCAGAACCCCCGCTGCAGGGCAATGGGCTGGCGCTCAGCCCCTCTCTTGCCAAGTCCATGAGGTCCTGCAGGGCCTGGTACTCCCTTTGGCTGGCGGAGGGTGACAGATTCCTGGGACTGGCACTATGGAGGGCAGGTGGCATGCGCACGCCCAGCTGTGGCTGTTTAGACGACACTGGTGGCAGTGTGGGCTCCTATGTGAGACCGTGAAAGAAATTGGAAGCCAGAGTGACCACAAGACTGCCGTAACAGCCACCACCCAGACGTGAGGGCGCCAGCCATAGCCCAGCACAACCCTGGAAAGCTTTTCTTCATCACCATCTGTCAGCGGGCTTTTCTGTCACAGCGAAGTCCATGCCTGTGGTATCACATCTGCAGAAAGATCCCTGGGGGCCTCCATCTTCCTAATGTCACCTAAATGGTCTCAAGCGAGTGAGTACAGACTCGGACCCACCTGCATCAGGCTTGTCTGGTTCCTGGGCCCCATCACCCTGGGGGGCGGAGCCTGGGAACTCGGGCATTTTTAAAAAAAATCTCCTCTAGGAAACAAAAATAAATTTTGGGAACCAGGGGCCCCTCCCCCATTTTTTACAAGGAAAAGCCATTTAGGGGGCTGCAAAAGAAAAAAAAACCGATATGGTTGAAACCCTCTGGGTTT